ACTATTTTTTTAAAGTGTGCTACCTAACCTCATGGTTTTTTAAAAAATTCTTGCTTCTACATTCGGCTGTGATCCTTTCGCTTGATGCCCATCAGCGCTTTTTCTGGACTCCTTTGTCAAATTCTTTTTCTTGCTACTGGGAACAATCAACACGCTTCTGTCTCTGTAATCTACTATATATTTGTCAACTTGGAAACACGTGTGTCACTTTTCTCTCAAGATTTATTGCTTCACTCCAGTAGGGTGTGTAAATATAGTAGACCAATGACTTTCAGTTTCAGTTGCTGTAAATGCACCGACTACTCCTTTCATCGAAAGGGAGCCCAGCTAGTTATTTTTAAAATTTAGATACACACAAAAAACTATCAATGTCACCATATTGACAGAGCACCAAACAGTAATTAACGTAGCACTCCGGAACTTACAGCCTCGATAATAGGCAAAATCTCAAATTTCAATTATCATTGAAATTATCACTCGTTTACCAGCTCTTTCAACTTCGCAATGAGAAATTCTGAAGACCCCCTAGCATCCACAGTAAACGTGTCCATGTATACGTCATGACACAAGAACATCCGATCAAAACTCGTAAAATTACAGAGAAATTGTGCATACGTCAACACCACAAAAATATTTCTGGAGGATATAAGTTTTCTTTTTATATTATCTGAATGGTCGCAACTCACTTCTTATTAATTGTTGTATTTTCCCATCACAAAACGTTTTTAATTTGCCTTATTCATTGTGCACATGAAGTGCTAAGAAAAATAACGATACAATTAATAGCGTTTTAGCGTCACCGTGTATGATAGGGTTCAACGAAGCTGAGCCTTTTCTGGTTGTATATCTTTTACTTCTACATAAACTAAATACTTTTGATCATTTAGGAGGCAGTCTGTTTAAGATTAGATGCACCACAAAAAGAGCAGGTCACAATAGAAGAAAATGCAGTAGAAGATGTTGAATCCTTTGCTATTCAGGGAATATAATAGAGTGGGGGGGGGGGGGGGTGAAGGGAACAGGATCTGAAACTAAGTTCCGCACCTTAAAGACACAGGCTGCTTTAATATTTGAAAAGGATTTGGAGGACCAGGGATAGCTCGCTCTGAATAAAGCTGAGGATTATTCGACATGGAACTCATCTCAAGCTCACACTTGCATAAAGAGAATCAAGGTATTTTTTAACGAGTGTCTGAGAAAGTTACTGAAGATCAGGTGGACAAATAGGATCACCGGCGTGAAGAGTTCAAAAGAACAAGACACAACCCAGTCAGAGACGAAGTAGGAAGAAGGCGGTGACTGCAGATTGGACATACTTTCACTCTCAGGAAGTCAGGCAGCTGCTTAACAAAGAAAGTGATAGATTGGAAACCAGAGCGTAAATGATCAAGGGGGGAGGTCACGTAAAACCTGGAGAAAAATTACAGAGAATGATGTACAGAGAAGCGGGGTGACATGGAATAACATCAAGAGGGGGCTCGCACCGGACAAGAAAAAGTGGAAAGTGTTCATGGCCTTTTCCCCTATGCTGGATAGTGCTCGAAGATGATGAGGGAGTGAAACAGGAATAGATAGATAGATAGATAGATAGATAGATAGATAGATAGATAGATAGATAGATAGTGTCTTAACGCCCATATGCCTTCAAATTCAGGCTTAACGCAATGGCGTCGCCACTTCGGTTGAGTCATTTGTCTAAAGTGCATTAAAATTTGCAAATCCAACAAGCTGATGTTTGTTTTCTATGCTTAGTTAAACGGTTGTTGTTTGGGTTTTTTTGTTGGTTTTTTTTTTTGGGGGGGGGGTTGTTTTTGTTTTTGTTGTTGTTTGTTTGTTTGCTTGTTATATTGTTGTTTGTAGGGGTTATTTTCTTCTTTTTAAAATGATTAACTGCAAATGCGGCTTTTTTAAAACTCTAACTACAAATATTTTACGTCCACGATAAACGTCTATGCAATGGACTACAAATTTTAAGGTTGCTCTTTTTTGCTGACTGTATCTATTTTTACAATGACAATGACAATCTTTATTCACCTCACAGCGAGATATTTGTCTTGGTCGTTTACAATGGCAGTGGAATGATAAAAAGGTCTGGTGCACGCACGCAGACACCCAACAAGACAGGACATTAGTATATGAATTAAATGTTTTATGAGCTGAAACAACCCGCTCCGCAAAACATTCTCTCTCTCTGTCTCTGTCTCTGTCTCTGTCTCTGTCTCTGTCTGTCTCTCTCTCTCTCTCTCTCTCTCTCACACACACACACACACACACACACACACACACACACACACACACACTCTCTCTCTCTCTCTCTCTCTCTCTCTCTCTCTCTCTCTCTGTGTGTGTGTGTGTGTGTGTGTGTGTGTGTGTGTGTGTGTGAGTATGTGTGTGTATGTGTGTGTGTATGTGTGTGTTTCACTTGTAGCACCGTACGTTCAGTAAACTATCTGCAGTTGTTACGAATGAAATTCTGTTCTTGCTTTTCTGGAAATACATGGACATGAAATGCATCGTTTACTGCAGGTTTTTTTGTAATGTTTTACGGCGCTTGCAACTGCATAAGATATATGAGCGCATTATAACACATAAGTTTGGTAGGAATTTTGAATTTTGGCCGGGTGGCGGCCGAAGCGCACTGTTGTCGATTTTAGGACCTCCAAATAATCTTTAACGTGGACAACATGCACATTGGACCTCGGAGACTTCTCGAATTTATCTGCGAAGGCTCGGTGTGAGATCTTAGCTTCCATACGACTAGGGTTGTGTCTGAAAGACGGTACGATAAGAAGGGGCAAAGGATGATGATGACGATGATGGGTTGCCTCATTTCGCGCATATCCACTTATGCAATGCTCTTTGCGCTTGACAGGAAACATATTATGCAATTGCAAATCAGCTTTATAGCCACCTAGTATTACATACCCGTGCACACACACTCACGCACGCACACGCACACCCATACACACTTACATTATACACACATACGTACATGCGCACATACAAATTCACGACGATCTACAGCTGGGATGGATTCTGTCTAATCGAAATATGTGGAAAATAGAAATGCGTTTAGTTTTTTCTTTAAAATTTCTAGATTTTCTGCTTCTCTGGTAGTTTTTGGAAGCCTATCCCGAACAAGAGGGGCAAAATAGGAAAAAGAGCGCTGGCCAAATGATTTGTAATTTATTTTAGGTTTAACAAGGGTTGTTTTGTCACTTGATGATCTGAGCGTTCTAGGTGGTACATAGGGTGTTAAAATCTGTTTTAGGTAGTCAGGTGATAGATCATGTAAGCACTTGTAGCAAGTTAAACAGATTTTATATATGATACGCTCTTTCACCAGAAGCTAGTGTAGATCTTTTCAAATAGGCGTCAGATGATCATGCTTTAGTTTCTCAGTAATTATTTTGGCAGCAATATGTTGTACTCTTTGTAGTTGTTGAAATTGTTCATCAGGCACGCTAGCGAGTAAGGAAATGCAATAATCAAGCCTTGACAATATAAGTGATATTATTAAAATTTTGGTGACATCAATAGATATATATTTTCCAATGCTCCTTATTTTCTTCAGTTGGAGATATAGATTTTTCATTGGCATATCTTGATCTAGCACTACACCTATTTTTTAAAAATTGTAGTTTAGGTTGATATTTCATGGTCATTGATGTTTATACTGATATTGTCAATTTCATTGCATGCGCTGCTACGAATAAATAATATTTTGGTCTTATCCTCATCTACTTTCAATTTGTTCTTGAACATCCATTTTCTTATATTGTTGATTCATCTGGCGATTCTATCTATGAGATTGTGTACATTGTCAGTAGTAAGGAATCCATACAGCTGTGTATCCTCTGCATACAGATGATAATTGAGGGCATAGAAATTATTGATGAGAGACTTTGAGTGTACATTGTAAAGATGACAGGGCCAAGGACCGAACCCTGAGGAACCCCACACTTTAGAGGTAAAAGATCTGACACTTCATTGCCAATTTCCACCAACATAAATCTATTTTCTAGATATGATTTTAACCAGATTAGAATAGTACCTGATAGTAAAAATGGCTTTTACAATCTCTCTAGGAAACTGTCGTTGTCGATGGTATCGAACGCGGCTGACAAATCAAGTAGAACCAAAACACAGACTTTTTATTATCGATTTCATTTAAAACATTTGATGATACCTTTAAAAGAGCGGTTTCCGTACTGAGGAGTCTTTTATAAGCAGATTGAAAAGGTTCTTCCAAGTCATTAGCCTTTAAATATTGTTGAAGGTGACACAAAACGATTCTCTCCAGGATTTTTTATAAAAAGTTAAGATTGGAAAGTGACCTAAAATTTTTCATGTCGTTTTCATCAAGACCTATTCTTTTAAGTGAAAGTTTTACAATGGCTTGTTTGAAAAGATCAGGTACGCAGTTTCAACATTTCTCCTCTCTTCCAGGAGATGCTTAGTAGTATAAAAACTACAGCTGTTATCAACTGCGAATCTTCGAAACAAAAAAAATATTATAAAGTTAGATCTTTCCATACTGGTAAGATGGAGTTCTTAGAGTTTACTGTTACAATGTATTTCCCTTAGGCCTCTTATCATTATGAGCACAGTGGTAAACGCGAGAATTCAGTCTCACTATGTACAGCACTTGACTGGCACCCAGTTGCCCGAACTTTGACCCTCCAGGGTCACGCTGGTCTCATGGCGTATGCGCTCACAAACTCGAGCACGAGCAAAAACCTCCGTATCGATCTCCTCAGCCTCTCCAAAAAGAGTGTTGTCGATAGATACACCCCCCCCCCCCCCCCCCCCCCCCCCCCCCCCTCCCTCCCTCCCAGCCCCCGCTCCCTAACTTCTACTTGTTCAAGTCTCTTCTCACGCACCCAGTAAACAGAAAAGAGAACGCTAGGTTTGGTAGTAGACTTATAGACGTAGGGCGAGGCAGCAAAAAAAAAGAAAAGGGGAATGAGGAGTGAGGGGCATTCCTCAGGTCTCGGTCGAGCGAGCGCACCTTCGTTCAAAAACAGGCTACACAGCGTTCCCATGACCTGTATGGCTTGACTGACACAATAACACGAATAATTCTCCTTTCGTTCTGCGCCTGCTCAGCATTTCAGTGTGTGGGCACATAAGCTCAGAGCGAGCGAGTATACAGTATACACACACACAACAGTCTGCCGGGACCGATCGACGACTAGTGGCACTTGTTTCACACATGTTTATATGGACATTCTCGTGCGTGAAAACTAGCCCGAACTGGTTTGTGTTGTATTGTGTTCGTATTTGCTAATATGATAATGAGCTTCTTGTTAGACTCTGAGTGACTCTGATCAGATGTTTTCACGTGTGACAAACTGAGGTTTCGATTGCATAAAACCGGATAGGTCCAGTTTTCCACAAGTATTTAAGTTACGTTCACCAGATTTACTTAATTTGTTGTTGCTGGCAATAGTCCAATATATAATATTCTTCTTACTCTTACGAGGCAAGTCAGGATAAGAAAAAAAAAGTAAAGCAAGCAGCCTAATTTCACACGTTTCCAACTCACGATAAGGCACATTAAACGATGTTTCCAAAATGCTTGTTCCACTTTCCGACGTTTTATTCAGATTTGGCGAAACTGGGTACCCGGTAATGAGATGAGATTCAACGACCACATTTTAGGACGTTGTTACCTGATTCAAGCAAAGTATGTGAATAACACGAGCAAAACTGTATGATTACCTGTGATAAAGAGTATTATATATTTTTTTTAAAAACTATTAAGAACCAAAGATGTCCGGAAATGGTATACTTATACTCGAACATTACCCTGTTACCCGAATTCGCCAAATCTAAACAACATGCTTGATGCTTCGATAAACGAATACTTTCCCAGTCTTATTTACCTGTGGTGTCTCCTAGCTTGCATCAGTCAAGATTCCCGTGGAATGCGTACAGCGCTATTTTTATTTAATGTTACTTTCTGTGTTCGGTGCCTGATAATAATACGTGCAAGCTGATTCCAACAAGCTGATCTCATACACTTGTGAGTTTCAGATAACTAAAAAATAATAAATAAAATATGATCCGTATGAATGACGAAGTTATATTATGCTTTATTATTTATAGTTCTGTTGTTTTTTTTTCAGTGTTAATCAAAATATTATGGTCAGTTTTTCATGCCTCGCTGAGGTGTGTTTTGTTTCGTTTGTTTGTGTTGGGGGGGGGGGGGGGGGGGGGGGGGGGGGGGGGGACAGCACCTCATTATTTATACAGTTTGTTCTTTTGTTTCCTTTATCTAAAAAAAAATAAAAAATTAGGGCGCTCAACAACATTCATAGACCCACTATAAAATATGCACATTCGTCTTTCTGATTTGCATCTGGTTTAAAATGTACCACAACACCGCCTTTGTTCTGCTACTGATCGACATAATAGGCATGTCATTGTGCGTGTCAGCTTTGTCATGAAGGAGTTAAACAGCCATACAATTCAGAAGGGGGCTCTCGTGGCCTAGAAGTTAAGGTGTTGGCCTCTCATTCAAAGGTCCC